GTACACCTCAGTTTGCAAATGTCCTCTATCAGAGACTGAGACCTCACAGTCCAAGAAAGCCAACCTGCCATTTTTTTCATCTTCTCGTGTGAACTTAATGCATTTATCCACAGAGTTGATGTGGTCAGTAAAATGTTGGACTTCCTGAGATTTAATTGTTCACATCCTGGACAGAGAGGAACAATGATTTGAGAGAGGAGTAAAGGAGGCCATCTTTGTGAAAAGAAACCGTCCATCATTAAACAGGGGTGGAGGCCTCCGTGTTCAACTGTCCCCCTCTTACAATGCTGTGATTGCTAGTATCACTCAGCCCTCTGTGAACAGTAAACAGCCATCAGGTGCTAATGATCCATTGTTAGGCTGATGGTCCTTCTTGAGCATGTGATCAGCTGGTTCTGGTTGTCAGCAGCAAACTGGTTGATCCACTCTGAGAAGGTGCTATTTAAGAGACTGAGCTGAAAACAGCACCTCAGACTGAGGAAGTCTCTCGGATGAGAGACGAAACGTTTCTATATATTTTTTGCCTTGTTTTGTTTTTTTGAAATTCCAGAGCACCAGATCGAACTTTTTTGGATTTTTTTACCTGGATTATTGAGCATGCATCAGGATATCTTTGACAGTGTGTTTGTGTTTAATTATCTGTGAGAAACACACTCTGGGTTAAAGAAGGCAAAACCTACATACAGTCTGATGATGTATAAATTAATAACACATCTTTAAGTCTTGTTTTTAGTGATTGGTTTCCTCCGCAGATTGCTCAGGCTTTACTCTTTGTTGTAGTGTTTTAAATCTGATATGTTTTCTTAGGTGTTGTCTTATTTTTCTGTTCCAGCTGTTTTATTTGTTTCCTTATTTCTCTGCCTTTTTGTCTGTTTGTTGTTATTGTTGTTGTTTTTTTATTTTATTTAGATTTTTCACTTTGTATCAGTCGTTCGATAATCCTGCTGCACATCACATTAACATTTTATTTCATCTCCCCTCACACATTTAGTTTTCACACGCTAATTTTTGACATTGTCACTGATATAAAACTCTTCAGAATAAAAAACAGAATTTTTGACTAAA